TATGGTCTATATGGTTCAATATGGTTTATACAAAACCCTATACAAAAAGGATCCATCTATGAAAGCAACTGAAAATTAAAAAGTTGTTGTTCTGACCAAATAAAAATATATAATTTAGTTCTGTTTTTCCCCCCATTGCCCAGGGAAGTCAATAAGCACAGATATAATATAAATACAAAGCAAACAATAGACTTACCAAAATGTTTACGTTAAGTGAATCGCTATGTCTAGAAAAGAATAGTGCAAAGTCTAGGGCTAAAGGTAAAACATTAGCTTGCAGTTATTTCCCTCAATTCTACACTAATACACCGAATGAATCATAGAGAATTGCTAGCAAGCATTTCTCACCTCCTCAACATTCAATTTTCAAGATAATTTAGCTGTTATGTTCATTCTTTTTCCCTCTGGAGTGACATGCAACTGGCTTCAACCAGCCTCAAGCAGTTCTTCTGTAATTATTTAAAATGACTCTAGCTCTAATCAGTAGAAAAGTCTAGGTAGCTGGAAAATAATTAAGTGCATATTCCTCACCCAGAAGTTAAAGTTTATTTTTTATTATAATGGAGCTCTTTCAGCTGGAGAGAAAAGATGAAAGAATGAGTAATTCCAATGGTTTCTTCTTGCAGTCTGGAAGCACTGATGCCTTATCAGCGCTTACATCAAACTATAATTGCTCCTTCAAATGTGAAGAATATGAGAGTAAATTAGCAAGAAAATTCCCATATTCAGTGATGCAGAAGGACACCCACCCTACAACCCCAACTCTGGCAAACAGCATTAACCATTTTGCTAACATTTGATTCATGGGAAGTATTATCTTAAACAGTTAAAAATATCCCCTTAATGAAAAGCTCAGATAATTCAGGTAACTAGGCTTGAGTAGGAGCAAAGATTCAACAAAAAGGTCTACCTGAAGTAGGCAGCTTGAAAAATGAAGAAGGAAGCAGTCAAAAGCCACGTGTAGTTGAAATTATCTAAAAATGTAAAGGCAGAGGAGAAGGTTTAAACAGCACTTCACAAACCATCGGTAAAAAGCGGGGTCAGAAACACAAACACTGAGAGGCCATGGGAGGTGGCCATAAATCCCCTTTTGGCAGGAATATGTGGTTCTTCTGCATGGGGATTTTAATAGCATTCAGCTAAGCCAGGAAAAGACACCACTATAAAACTGCCTTGGAGAAGTCTGAGGAGCAAACTTGTAAAAATGTGGCATGGACCCTAAGATAACCTGAAGCAAGGGAAACACGGTGAGATTTATGATTGATTCAAGGTATGTCTGTCTATCAGTCACCGCAGCCTTTTTAACCCCTCCAGAGGGAGACTTACAATGCAGTCTTTACAATGATACAGACAAAATTATGCATTACAATGACAAACAAAAACTAGATAGTCCCCATGCTCAAACAGGAGGGCTGACTTCAATCACAGGCTTCAGGAATAGGAAAGCTCATGTATTCTTGAGAACTCTATGTTAACTGAAACTGATGATAGCCCATTTATGAGAGTGGCATGAGGAGCTTGTAGGCATTCACCAGAGAACACAGAAGTGGCAACTAATATGAGTGAAATCCGGCTGGCAACACAACAGCAGAGTAGACTCACAAAACATCTTTTGCTTAGGCTGCAGCCGTGTTCTTCACCTCTCCTAGGAAGCTTTGAGAGTTCAGAACTCAAGAGGACACTGCTCAGGTGGGCCAAAGTTACTGCTTGCCCTGTTCATTGGAGCAAGAACACTCCTTCATCCCCATGGTCTCGGTCTGCAGGGGGACTGATAAAGACAGCAAATGTTCTCTCTGGAAGGTAAACTACTTCCAGATGTCAGAAACAAGGGTTGCAGAATGCTTCGATTCTCCTAAAGAAAAAAGCTATCAGATGAGTTTCAAGGAGTAGACAGGTCTTGGTAAGTGATCCCTCAAGACTTTGAAGAAATTAAAAAGCTTCCTCAAGTTTTTTTAATGGACAAGATAAGAAATGTTGAGTGAGAGTTGCCTGACTATATGTTCAGAGCTGATCTAAGCATTTGGACCGCCTTCATGCTTTTCAGAGAGAAATCAGATTATAAAGGGTAAGTTGTATCTCCTGCAGCAGACAACTATAAAATAGGTCAGAAGAATCATGTCCTAAAAATACCAGTTTCTCTCCACTGACTGTAAGGACAGCCTTAGTTGACGACTTCAGATTCATATTTCAGATGTCCAAAATTAGCTGACATAAATCACTTTCTCAGGGTTAGAGCAACCCAGACGGACCACAAAGGCATAAAAAATGACAATTGCCTTGTTGGAGGAAAGCAGCCCTATGTTGGCAGAATGCAATATCCAGAGAAATCACCAAGCCGTTTATGAAACCATTTCATGTAGGACAACAAATGTCTTCTGTTTCAGGGTCTTAACATTCTGTCTTCAAATCCTGACTCTGAAACAGAACAGGAACCAGCCCGAATAGATCTTCATCTTGCAGTTATTATCTGATAACTATTATAACCCACAGGGATCTCTGTGGCTACACTGACTAAACTAAATAGCTCAACAAGACAGAAAAGGGACTCAGTCATAGGACAGGTCAGCTTCCTATCTCATTAATTCGCTTTCTGTGAGACAAATTCCAGTCTGAAATCTTGTTCTATATATGCATTTCTCACAGAAGTCTTTCTCTCTTTGAGTCAACAGAAAGATGAATGGATATAAGAAGATGCTCTGAAGCTGTCCATCAACAAGAAGGACAGAGGGAAGTTAAGTCTCTAGTGTTGTCTCTAGGGCTTGGGAGATCCATTGCATAAAGTGAATTTAACTGATCAGAAGGAGCTGCCCTTCTGCCCATGACACAAAAAAGTGTCATGTTTAAAGTGCATTTCCTTCATCAGTGGGAAAACAGCCACTTAGTAAATGCAAATCTTTCATACTGAGCAGCTTCAAATGTACTGAGTAATGTAAAATCTTTTCCCATACGAACAGAGTCTTTATTTCTCATATATAATGATCTTATTGGTTATCACTGAAGGAGTGACCCTGTAGCTCCTACATCATAGAATATGGTCTTTATAGTTTAAGCAGAAGGAATCCGTTTTATAGATTATGGTTACAAAACAGTCCACATCTACGGTAGTTCAAGCACAAGGAAAGATATGCTACTGGTACTGAGAAGAGGCTATATGCAAATATACAGGCAGACCAACCCTCAAAGGTAGTTTTCATTTTGCCTCTTCTGGCTCTGTATAGAAGCTGATAACCTTAAATGTGCTATAGTAACTTACAACTATTGTGAAAAAATATATATATATTTCAAGTGGCTTTATATGTGTTTGAATTTAGAGAATTAAGAAAAGTTCAAATAGATTAGCTTTTAAAATACAGAATATTTTAAAATAAATTGCTTTAATTATTTAAAAATGCTCCAATTTCTCAAAGTAATTTAGAAAGCTTGATGAAATATGTATGGATTTTAAAATTCAACAGACTTTAAAAATTGCTACAAAAATTACTGCTCTTGACTCCAGTTCTTTCATTAATTAAAAATATTTTTCATTCCAATTGTACCAAATGCATATTTGCAGATAAGAACAGCCATCTCCCTTTCATTTTAAACAGTGAAACCTGCAATAACTATACTTTTTTTTCTGCATCTTCATAAAAAAATTAATGCGCTATTTACAAAAAAAGAGGTCAGAATTCTTGAAGACTCAAGTCCTCTCCTTTACCAGAAGAAATACACAGCACTGAGAATAGCAATGTAGACTTCCTTACACACTGCCTTTCTCCTCTAACTCTCATCTTGAAAACTGATCTCTGGAGATAAGATCCATCAGGCAGATATTGAAGAAAGGTCTTATTTTCCTTCAGTAAAACTAGCCTTTGGCCTAGGGTCTGAAAGGGCCATTTTGAACAGTTTGATGGATAGCCAGAGGCTCAAGTTCTATTTCCCTGCAAAAGTCAGATCATTTCTGACTGAACACGTAACACCTTTGAGGAAGTCATCCTTTTTATTTATTTTTATTTAAAGAAAACTTACAAATCAAGGTCAAGTAGACCTTTACACTTCTTTTGGTCTTGAATTGTTCTTAATGTTTCCCTCCTGAAATCTCTCAGTCTTTTCAAGATCCCATCTGCAGTGCTCACACTCACACTAAAAAATGATTTACAGTAACGATTTTCTTGTTGCCTAACACAAGGAAATTATAATTTTTGTATTCTCAGTTGTGATTATTCTGAATTTGAATTCAAAACTCAAATTAAATCAAACATCATCTTGGGAGCTCAGACATGTCATCCACTAGAACAAACTAATTCCTTTCAAAATTACTGCTTTTTAGGATATAGTCGATCCCCCCTATGCCTCTCTTCAACAGAAGCTGCATTGTTTTTCTCAAGGCATGATTGTCTTCCATATAATTGCTTTAAAATATAAATATTACTTGATTACAACCAGTATTTCATGCAAACAGATAATCCTACATAAATAACTTTTTCCTATTGCTACTTATTGCTAATATGGTTTGATGTCATCTATAAACAGTACTCTGCCTATCAGCAAGGGTGCAAGTTATGGATTTGGGGTTTCAGTGGTAAATACTAAACACTGACTAAAAAGAATGAAGCAATCAATTAACTTAAGCCTTCAGTTCATTAACAACACTTACTCTTCACTGGCCTGGTCTAGACATGAATTAGCTAAACCAAGAAAAGCCTGATAGGTCATCCAAGTGTCCATATAGAATGCTTATAACCACTACAGTTAAATGCAAAAAAATCCCTTACCTTACATAACATGTTTTAAAGACAACTACGGATTTAGGAGATTCTTAGTCACTTACATTGTTAGACTTCAACTGTTCTGTTACATAGCTATTGCACATGAAAATTTAAGCAGTCATTTTTGGTTAAAACCTTATATAATATAGATAGGTTATGTAATCTTGAAAATCATATACATCATTCCTGGGTAAATATTAAGTTGTTAAGACACCAAAAATTTGACAGTTCTAGGCACTGACCATTACTCACCCTTGAAGGTCTCATTGCAGTATAAATTACTGAAAAATTAATCCCTCGTTCTTGTAGATCCATGATCAGTCTTCCAATTATTTTATCTATAAAGACAAATTTGTATAATTTTACAGACTCTGTCAGCTGAGAAAAATAAAATCCTTTGGTTGTTGGATGTCACAGGCTAGATGCTTTAGCTTATTTAGTTTATACAATTTAGGTGCTAACAACTTCTACGAACAGGCTAAGACATGTTTAGTGTCTTGAGAAATTCACAGTTCCAATGACCCAAGACAAAGCAAACTCATTACAGCAGTTCAGATGAAGGGTTGATTTTGAAGTCAACAAGTAAGTATAGTAGAAAAATACCTGAAAGACTAAAAGTTTTGAAATTAAAAGCAGAAGCAGGAGAAATCAATTAACAAATGAGACCAGCATGCATATACTGTTTGTCGAGTGACTAGTTAATGAATAATAATGCTGAAGTAGTATTAGTTTGTGAATTACGAAGTACACAGAAGAAAAACGATCACTGAACAACAAAACTCAAAAGACTATAGAGACAGGTAAAGCCTGATTCTGTACTTTCAACAGGATATGGAAAATGTTGCTACTGAATACAATGGAGGTCAAAGAAAAATTATGCTGGAATATTTCTGGAAAATTAAGGAAAAATGAAGTCTGGAAATGAAGGGTTTAGGCTTGGCTTTTATATTTAGAAGAAATACAAAAAAAAAAAAGAAAAAAGGAAAAAAGCCTGAGTTTCCAACCTTTTTCTTGTATGAGACTTTTACTAAAATTTTCAGTAAGGTCCCAAAAACTCTCTATAGAAGATTCTCTTAGTTCTGCAAACTCATGTCATTATGACAAATACTTATGATTCATAGAAGTTTCCAAGCTGTATACCGAACTATTAAGAATGACTTATCATATGGAGTATAATAGTTGTAAATCAAGAATGATTATTAGTGTTGTCACTGACATAAGCCAGCAGACTAACATTTACTTTAACAGTGTCTCTTCACTTCTCATTCACAAAACATTCTAATGAATGGATATTTCATAACCCATACAAACAGGCTGTTCAGATTTCAAGGGTATACTTTACCATTATATTTCATTTTCTTGTTTTAGTAGCAGATTTTATTTCATTGCCCTTTTTAACCTATTATAGTAATTACTGTCTCTTGAGTAAGAAAAAAAAAAAAGCTTAACTTTTGTGAAATTGCAAGTTTTTTTTTTTTTTACCAACTGATTTCCACATTTTTGTCAAGAATCACAGATAGATGAAGTTCACTTTTAAAAAGTTATTACCAAAAGTGTCTGCTATGAGAAACAGAAGTTTGCTGAGAAAGCAATTGTTTATACATTGATAGTGTAATTATTTTTGGAGAAAGTGTCTAAGGAATTAAATAATGTAAATTTTCTATTCCATATGCAGAGAGCAATTTATTTTTAAGTAAATCAGAAGCATCATTTAAAATTTGTAGAAGGAATAATACTACATGGGTTAATGCATAGGTTTTGCTTGTTTTTCCTTTCATTGAAACAACTGAATGTATTCTGAAATCATACTTTATTTTCATTTAATTTCAATAATAAGCTATGTGTAACTATAGTTACCAGTAAAATGTATAACCCCGTGTTTCAGAACATTCTAGAGGAAATGCATTTATTCAGAGAAGTTTCTGCAAGCAGTATTTATGACCATTGAGTTGATACAATCTTCATTTACCTGTGATCCAAACTCCTCTAAGCCATGTAGTTCACATTGTTTATGAAATATTTGCAAGTTTTTCAAGGCAAAGAGCAAATAGATTTTCCCGGTCTATCCTAAAAGCACCCAAATGGCATGCCTACATGAGAACTTAGTTATCTCAGACTCTGTACAGAAAAAGAGGCATCTCCAGATGGTATTTTTGACATTAAAGCAACTTTAGAGCGATCCCAATGCAGGCGTTCCTTTAGATACAATGAATCTAGGAAATGCTATGTAGATCTATGAATGCAAAGTTTGTCTAGAATGACCTCATCTAGTTAGCATAATTCCTTCTGTGTCCTCGTAGAATGATTAAACCTTTCTCACTTGCTGGAGAAAAATATACCCTTCAGGGAATTGTGGATTACTAATTTCTAATCTATCATAATTTTTTTTGTGTGGTTTTATACATGGACAGAAGGGGTAGAAGTAAGAAACTAAGAAGTTCTCAGAGGAGGAAGAGAAAAGCATAAACTATGAACAAGAGAAAAAGAAAAAAGGGAAGAGAAGATGAGAAGGGAAAGAATATGGGGCAGGAAAAATGTGGTTGACTAGATTGGTATTCAGAGGGAAGAGAGAAATATATGAAGAAGCAACTGAAGAGTTTCATGTTATGCAAATGGAGAGATAGGCAGGTTTGCCACTGAATTTTGAGATATACTGAATTCAAAATCAACAAGACAGAATGCAGACCTTCTCCTGGAAATAAGCCTGAATCCCTTAAATCTTGAGCAGGTTTGTATTCTGAAGTCCAATACTGATTTCATAGAGTGTCACCTTTTAAAAAGGTGCTTAGAAAACCTGTCCTACTTCAGCTTCTAGGTGATCCAGACGAGCACTTTTCCTTGGGGCAGAAAATGGACTTTTTTTTTTTTTTTTTTTTTTGTATTATAGTTTGCTGTCTGCAGGGAGTAAAACAGCAGGAGAGATTTCTCCAACATTTTATTATAACAGATTTTAAACTCTCTACAGTGAAAAGGAAAGAATTTGCAGTGGCAATCATAAAATGCTTTATGAGCTGCCAGAAAACCTCATACAGGTCTGCAGTCTTTTTCTGTGGTTTTACTGCAGATACTGTAAAATAAAAAAGAATAAAAGCAATATTTATGGCCTAAAAATTCACTTGTCATGTTACCAGTGATATATTTTTGTTGCTTATCCAGATTGGATCACTCCATAACAAATGCTAATGACCTCAAAGGGTGTCCCAATACCAATATGTGACGAATGACTACGGTAATGCTGCTAACAGAACATAAACATGTTAAAGGTCAGAATATATGTTTTGAAAGCTGTATTTGGGATCTTCTATTTGTATACTGTATATTACATTTGGCATGATTCTTCTGGCATTCTGTTCCACAAGCTTCATGATAATTTTGAGGAACAGGGGCTCAGTAACTTTCATTTGAATTAAACCTGCCTGCTGATTATATTCCCAGGATTTATTCAGCAATGTATTCAGTGGCAGCTTTGGCAAAAGTAGCAGAAGGTGGGGATTTCACCCACTTTTCTGCTTTGCTAGAGCACAGCTGAGACTCAGCATACTAAGTCAAAATTTTGCACTTAGCCATACAAATTGTCATGTCTCTCCAGATCCACCCTTATCTTTCCTGATAACATCTAGTTCACACTAACTAGAAAGCTGGGATAGCCTGTTATTCCATCATCCCACAGATCCCTTGTTAACTTAGGCTTCAGTCTGCACAGCTTATGACAAATACAAAAATGCCCATTAAAAAAAGAAGTTCATATTTAGAACCATCAAGGCTGTTTTGTATCTACTAGTTCCTGGGAACAGGAAGGGAAAATGGCTTAATTGTCTATCTGCCTTATCTACTGCACAATGCGTGTCACTGAAACTACCTGTACAATCTTTTGCAGACTTGTTTGCAATTTGCATATTTGCAGACATTGTCTCTAATTTAGAGTAGTAAGCAAAAGCCCTGAAAAAAAAATCTGATGTCTCTCAGTGTATGGTAACGCTTTTTCATCCAAATAAGACAAGGTTTATTTTAGGATTGTTCGGAGAGACTCATCCTTAATGAGCCTGCAGAATAATATCTGCAGAAACAACAAACCATTCTAAAATTAAAAGCTATGAAAGTCATTGGCACTACTTTACAAAGATTAGAAAACCATTTTGTAGTCATTCAATCACCTGGTCTCTGTTGTAAGACCTCAGAACCACCAGATAAGCCTGATGAGCAAAGGCAAGACCCAAGCTGCTGTCAGATGCAGGGTTTGGTCTCAACTGGGAGGATTTCAAGGTCTACATTAAGATCCATCGTTGAAGCAGGGATGAATTATAATTAAAAATCTGATGATACAGAACTGTATCCCTTTCAGTGGATTTTGAATCAGTCATTCAGTTAAACATTATGCTAATTGACTATTTATAAGTGCTATAGATGGGGGAAAAAAAAACCTTTAAATAGTAGCGCCAGTCTTAAAGTAAAACCTGGGAAACTCCACAGAATACAATCTGTTCAAGCAAAAACACAGACTTAATTGATGGAATGTTAGTAATATATTGGTCACAGTCCTTACCATTTTCAGCAACTGCTTCCAGGGTAGAAATATCATTGAAGTTACTACAAAGAAAGTAGGAGAAAGATAATTAAAAATCTTTTACAGAGAAGAACAATGTTACCCAGAACTGCATATAGATATGGACTAATAAAGGTGCCACTTTCAGTGCCAGATTACATAGTTCCTCACCATTCTCTATTCTGTTCATAAGCCTTTTCTTAGGCAGATTCAATTAGAAATTAGGAACAAAGACTGCATCTTCAGCTGATTCCTCCAGTACATCCAGCTTTCTTAGCTGCAGAGAAGTCAGAACACCGATATTACTTTGGCCATCCTTTTCCCATTCTTCTTGGAATTTGATGTTTCTCTCTTCCCTGATCTAACGTTTGTATGTGAGCTTCTTCGAATGGGTATCAAATATGGGTATCACTGTGTAGGGACATGACAGGTACAACAGCATTTTCTTAGAGTCCATTTATACATGGACCATATGCTATGATGTTCGCATAACATTTTAGAAGAGCAGCATGAGATAAGCAGAGGAACTCAATCCAGTCACATCTAGTATTTCCTAAATGTATGATTGCCATCCTTTACAGTCAGTATGAATGCATAGGAAATGCCCAGCTTTCTGCTGAAATAGCTGCCATTCCAGATCAGGTCAGTGATCCATATTCAATGTCCAAGAGTATTCTGCACCTGACAATTCACAGAGCTGAGAAGGCCCTGGAAGTAACAATGGAACACCTGAAGGAAGAGCCTCACCTATTTCCATTAGATAATGGTTGTCATAGATTTGGACACATGAAGAATCACATCCTTCCTATTCATTCTAGTGTGCTCATTATTGAGATCAGCTTGTAGTTTGTTTGCGTATTTGTTTGTTTGCTTATTTACCCTGACAGTTTTTTGACTCCTGGAATGCCTTTTGGCAATTAATTCTGCAGGCTACTCATGTGTTGCATAAAGTAATTCAGCTTTTCTGCTGTAAGTGTTTGCCATTTAATTTTATTAGTTGTCCCTTTGTTCTCATATAACGAGGTAGGGAAAAGAGAAATGCTTGATCGACTTTCTCAACACAATTCGGCCATTATACCTGGTAAGCTCATCAGAGAACACACAAAAACAAAACAAAACCAAAAAACCCAACGCTGAATGCACACATACAAAAGAATAACTTACTGATCTCACTTCCATTTTGATATTTAAATTTCCTGAATATCTTTAAATATCTTGCATATATTTGGGTCAGTTTTAATTATGACAAATTCCTACCTGATAAATGGTTGCAGCTGTACCACAAATAAATTTTGTTCAGATGTATTCACTTCTAGCTGAGAGACATCTAGATTAGTTATGTTTGTTAACTTCCAATTCACGGACTCCTGGAGAAAGCCCAAAAGATAACGGGTAGCCTTGCAGCCAACAGCAGGCAAAACTAAGGATGAAGAAGATCGAAGAATTTCCTGTAATAAATTTATGGACAGCTTATTTACTTGATTAATAATTAAACACAAACTTTTTTTTTCCTATAAAGCTAATTTAATATTTGAGGAGCCATGATAATAAACATTGAGTTTATGCCAGCATAATGCTGAGCACACACTGCTCCTGAGAAGGGGCAGTGAAGTGGCACCTGTTATAGATCTTATTCATGCATTCTTTGGGGCAAGCTGAAGGCACTAAGTGTCATCAAATTCTTACAGCCGTTTCAACATGTGTGATAGAAGAGGAGAGGCAGATGAAGTTTTCAGCCTGAGAAAGAAGGATATGGAGAAGGCGTTAGAGATGATGGAGAGAAAGGAAAAACAGGTTATGAATAGCTTCCAGAAGCAAAGATCCTCATCATAATCAATATTTTTGCACAGTTTCCACCAGCAGTGCAGAGTGTAATAAATGCCCTACCTCTGCATATACCCTAGTGGTGGAGCTTGCAATATAGATAAGCATCTAATTTGTAACTACTAACTAAAGAATGCTACCTATTTTATCTATCCAGACACAAATTTTATCTATTTTATGTACTGTCTTTCCACTCAAAATACAAAATTGTAAAATGCAGGCTGAACTGGTTCGTACAATCAATTATCAGAGTACCTATTACTTTGTTTTTAATTCTCATATCTGATGTTTCTGATAAAAATACGAGTGAAATGATTTTAAAATATTCTCATTCTGTAAAAATTGAAGCCTGAAAAATTAAAAACATCTTTCCAAAGCTTTTTCTTGATGATAAAATTCACTTGGAACACAGGAAAATGCAAGATGAAGACTTGAGAACGATCAAGATTAATTAGCTCAAAATTTAATGTGAACTTTTGCAGATATATGAGTTCACAATCTCTTAACTAACTTCTCTTTTGCATTTCTACATTTCAGTCAAATTGTCACTTGATTTAACATCCAGATACCCAACGTGTTATAGATTCTGCCTCCAACTGGTGCAAGTGTTGTGGTATTGCTAACACGCTTTTCCTCCTACTCTTTTTCCTTTTTGTATGTTCTGTGACTGCCTACCACTTTCTGACCTTTTCTGGTTCTTTCTAATTGCTCACATGCTTCCCTGTGGTTTATATTTTCTCTCAGCATTGATTTCAAGCAGAGGGAACAGAGGCAAAGGGTACTTATTTTCACATTTCTATAGATGCCCGTAAGGGAGGATTATGTAGTAATGTCTGGTTTGCCAGGCTAATAGAAAACACAACTGCAGAAGTTAGAGCAGAAAGCACCGATCTAGTTCACAAGCCACTGAGTAGTGTTTTTAACACCTTCTGGGAGGAAAGGGTGATACATTCCATTCTGGTTTTGCATAAATGAATTTCAAGCTAAAATCCTGAACAATAGTCAATTATTTTATTTTGTTTTAGACGTTTTAATCCCTCCCTCCCTAGCAGCAGCCAAAATGGCAGTAGCCAGTTCTTCAAAAAATATATATTAGGCAGATTACTCATTTATTGTAACATAAGAGATAAAATGCATAATTACTGACTAATATTCAAATTTGAATCTCTACTCCTAACCAATGCTGCACTGCCATCTGTCTCAACCACTGGTATTCGACTGTTTTCCATTTGAAGGGCAGGCACAGCTGGAAATCTACTCAGTGCACTGGATAGCTGTTTTGATCTCTGGGCTCTTGTTTGTGCCTTTTGACATTCGGTGAGTGCACATTTGTATTTAAAACGCCTATATGATGCTTTAAATATTTTAGCATTTCAATTCAACTCCATGTTCAAAGTTCTAGAATCTTGAAAAGAGGATGAAGAATGCACAGAACTGCTGAGAAACACCTGATTTTGCATTCTATTGCAGGTCTAAAGATAAAGAAATAAAACCACATAGTATATGGGAAAAGGAAAGCTTGCTTTAGCATGAGAGAGATCTTCACAAAGATAAAAATAGGTAAAAGAATGGGCAGAAATAAGTATCAGTTATCAAAGCAGAAAAAAAGTCATCAGTGAAACCTCACAGAGATGTGTACCAGGCTCTGTTCTGTTCATAAATAACCTGGTAAAAGGACATAAATACTGATGAAGTCTGGTGATTTCACTGGATTTTTTGAGATAGTAAAAACAAAGGCTGACTGAAGAATTGCGGTAACACCTTTTGCTCCAGCCTCTTGGGAGATGAAGCAACAGATGGCATTTAATGTAAAACTGACTTAAGCAGAGCATCGGGGGAAAAAAAATCATAATTTTATGTACAGACACAGGAAATTAACTAAGTTATCAAAATATGTAGTCTTCTATGGACAGACAAAATGAATAACCTAAACAATCTACAGTTCTTATGTGGAAACAGCAATATCACCACGCATTTATCAGTAGAACATATTCCTATTAAGCAGCTTCTTATCAAAATCAGATTATAAAATGCTGTTTAGCCAGCTGATTAAGAAATGGACATGATTTACTATTACTATGATGATATGATTGATGATTTTTCACATCATCTTGGGATCTCATATGGCAAACTAAATTATGCAGCTTATTGTACAATATCTATGCATCTCTACTGTCTAGAATGGCAGATGGGCAGGACTGTACCACATTGGACTAGCAAAAAGTTCTGACTACAGTAATAATTATGTAACTGCAGTTACCAACTAATTGGAGTGCATTACCATACAATGCAGTTTTAAGGAAATGAGTCTTAACTGGGGAAAGTGAAAGCTAATATTAAAGAACAGTAGTTTCTAGAATAGGTGACTGCTTGACAGAAAAAAATCCCCAAATGCTAATCTTTGTGTTTTATTATTTAATTAAAAAGTTCTTTGAATGTTTAAGGCAAATGATCTACCTATAAGATCTCTGTTTGTAATAACTGGAAATGGAATTCTTTTATTATAAACACAACCATTGATCCCAAAAGCTCAAAACAGCTGCTAATGTGGCTGAACAAATCTAATATCTGCAAATGTCTCTGTGGTTTAAAAGCCTATAAGTCTTTAGCACATAACACTTTCTTCCTGTAGTACACGTGCTGCTACATGCACATATACATAGTAAATGAGAACTTCAGTTTAAGTCTGTGAATAAATTTGCATTGCTGAAGTTCAAAAGGAGGATGAGTGACATAGAATATCTATTACAGCTAATGAATCAGTTGTATAATAAAGAATATGAAGGTATAAAAATTTGAGATTATGCAACATCAAAGATTTTAATTTCCCCAGTGAGAAAACACAGACTTGACCTTCACTCCGTCCTGTATTCTGTGAATATTACTATAGAGTCTTTCATACCATGATTAGGAAGGGATTTCTTTCACAAAGTGACTGAAGTGGAATGGAATTAATGTGAAAGCAACTGAGCAAATTTATGTGGCCTCTGTTACATTGAAGATGAAACCAGTGACTAGACTAAAGAGCCTTTCTGGCACTAAAAGTTATGAGTCTATGCATACATATATTGTCAAAATTGTCCTTATGTGCACCTAAATGAAAAAGAAGTATTTAGTTTATACATCCCATTCCTCTTCATCTATGCCACAGCACCTCACCCCCACAAAACTATGCTAGAAAACTATGAAGATTGCCAAGTCAATACATTAAAACTAGTAAGTGCTGGAGTTAAGCTTACCAGTTCTCAAAAGAAACTTTTCAGTTTTGAAGAAACTGTAACCAGAAAAACTTTTTCAGCTTCACGACAGAGCGGAAGCAGAAGCAAGACCAGAAAGCAAACGAACTTCCTTTTGCTGATATTTATACATTTTGTTCAAAACCTGGGTTCAAATCTTTGTTCTGCCAGACACAGTTAGTGTCTGTAACCACACTTAGTTAATCCACAGATTTAGTTAATCCATTCAACTAAATTAATCCAATCCATTCAGTATACCACTCCAAATTTTTAGATCCATCAGTCCTAGGATTCAGTTCTAGTCTTTGGCTAAAAGCTCTAGAGCACTGATGGAACCCCAGATACAGGGCAAAAGATGCAAAGTTTGAAGTACTTCCATTTCTTTTCTCTTAAGCTTATAGGGGCCTACTTAAATAAGACCACTATATCATCAGAAGCTTGCAGTGGTCATGTATATATTTCACGTAGCTCTGAATTATGAAATCAAACCAGCTTTGCAGTCATAGAAGCAGGAAGAAAATTTGCCCTGGACACAACCTTGAATATATTTTAAATCTAAAGGAGAAAGGTCACACCAGAGATGTATTAATATATCTGTTGATGCATGCTTATCCTTACAGTATATATGAATATTACACCCATTTTTCCTCAAAGCAAGCTTTTTACACACTCCAAATTGGTACTTTTGTTTCAGCATCATTATTTAAACTTTCAGATGGCAACAAGATGGAGAGTTTTCCAGTAAGTGATACAAGATTGTGAGGTTCTTAGAGGATAGATTTAAAGATAGATGCAAAGACAGATGCAATATGTGGATATTTATGTGTTTAACTACACATACAACTTGCTGTGTGGTGCTTAAAAATTAAAATTCCTCTCATGATCTGCTGTTAGCTATGTTTAAATAGCTCTGGTCACCCAGCACTGTCCACAGGACTGCTTTTATGACTTTCTTGTGTGAACACTTCTTTTTTTCAACAGTTCAGAAAATTGTCACATCAGTGTAAGCAAAGATCTTATGCACAAAATCTGTAAACCTCCTCAATGAAAAAGACAAGAACAAACGGGTGGCTTGGTGGCTCAGGAGAACTTGGTCTTAATTTCTGTGTCTGCAGTTTATTTCAAATTACTGAAGTAGTAGAATTTTTTTTTTCATATAGATTAAAGCAATCTATTATGTAAGAATGTTAACTATATTCAACTGTTAGCGGTCTGCATGAGGGAAGACAGCTACATTTTGCATAAAAATAAAATGGGTTTTCAATTTTGAAAATCCAGAATAAACAATTGACTCCTGTAACTACTTTTCTTACTGAGGCTTCAAAATAGTATTTGGGGTTGTTTTTTACAAAATAAAATTACAGTTTAGAAAAAGTTTCTCAGTTAAGATGAATTCTGACAGCTTGATTTTCAGAAATAAAACAGCTACAAAAGAGATTTCTGTGAATTCAGTTGATTTACTTTAATCCATCTGCTTAACACAAATAATGTCAATAAATAAAAGGGAAAACTGTTGCAATTCAGTTTTATTCTGCTAATTACTGTCTCTTTGCATCTTACATCATTTTTTATTTCATATATTCCATATAAGGAAATAAAAGAGAAAAATGCTTGCCTGAACATTTTCAAATGGTTTCTTGTTGCCATAGGTATCGCTGTAATATGTGAAATCCTCTATGCTTAGCTGAAAAAACAGAGAGAGCAGATTGGTGAGAAAGAACCATGTCATACAGATTTACCCTCAACATGAGTAAGCTAGAGGAACATTACCTACCTTATCCTGAACAATCAAGACGAGGTTTTCAGAACTCTGAGTGATAACAGGTTGCAAGAGGACAGCCAGCTCCTGTGCTGAGATAATGTGCCCCTCATGCAAAGTAGTGTTTGGATCCCACTGTGGCCTACAAAGAAAATTATTTTTCCTGTAAAACTTGTTGCCAATGATGAAACCTCTTCTTTCAATCAGCTCTAAAGAAGAAAGCAGTGCTATCATCTCTAGATTAAAATCAGGTTTACAGTTCACTTTATTTTCATTCCAGAGGGGAAAGGATTTGTCCATTTATGTTCATAATAAATTAACTGAGTTACAGCAGGAACTCCATGTTTATCTATTATTAGCTTTTCTTGCTTTCATACAATAGCATAGCTCCATTTTTTTTCAGAAATTAACTACTAAATGGAATGAGTAAGAATATGTTGAAAACCTTCAGAGAATATTCCCAAAGGGGATCCCAACACCTGAAAAAATTCCTAGTGTTGTCAGAGATCTTGGTGGCCAGAGAGCAATAGAAGTTGAGCCAGGCCACAAGCTGGCATGATAAACATTTTTTCATAAACCTTTTCTTAAGTTGAAGCGGCTTCATTTTATAAAAAACATGTTCTCTCCTAAGGTTTTTAGTGTTGAATCGACCTTTCTGCAGAAGCAGCAAAGAAAAACAACCTTTTTAGGGGCATGAACTCTTCTGAACACAATAGCAAAAGACTCCAAGAAAAGTGTACAGTTCTTTTGCCAACTTGTCACTGTGAGTTGTTGATAGAGAAGTAGACCATTTATTTAGTTTTTACAAGACTTTTAAACTTGAAAATGGCAAGTTTATTACAAGAAAGAACAGTCATGGACAAAACTAGATGTGGCATTATTCTTCTAAAACTTTACTGGATTTTTGTAAAAGCAAAAGTAACTTATCATGCAGCTTTAATAACACATTGCGTGCATCCATTTGGATGAAATTTACTATGAAAATTTTGGTCCTCAGTGACATGCTTACGATAATATTGTCACTCTATAGAAAACCTAGACCTTGAAGCTTAATCACCCATTTTCCACAAGCAACCATTGGCTGCTAAGGCCTGGGAAATCAGGTTATTTTAATCTACTTAAATGGTTGCAATTGCAAACAACAGAACATAAAAATTTACAAAGAACAGAACATAAAAAATAGCACCAACTACTACATGGCTGAGAAGAGGTGAAGTCGAGATGCCCTTTAGGTTTTCTAAAACAAATTGCAAGAATGTCCTCATCAAATAGAGCTTCTGTGAATAAAAATGGTCTTTGCAGTCTCCTAAGATGGAGGTAGAGCAGTGGCAATGAACAGGTAGGAAGATTCAGTGATGTTTCTCAGACAAACAAAGCCTGTATTTCACTTTGAGACTTCCCATAATTCCAATAAAGACTGCAATGAGTAAACCTGAAGTTTCCAAAGAGCAGAGATAAAAGTACAATCATGCGATAATAGATACCTAGTTCACTGTAGATTTTTAGTTAGAGCAAATAGTACATCTGGGAGATTCTTCCAGGAAAGGGTGCCAAAAATGTTAAAATTAACTTCTGGTAAACCTTCAGCTTGTCACCTTTCAATAGCTTTAAAAGTAAGCTTTTTTGTTGTTTGTTTTGGAAAGCAGTTATTTCTCCTCTTTGACACAAGTTAGCGTTTGACATTTTCTTATTTGCACTCAGCATCTCCACTTCCTTCTTCATTTGTTCTTGGAAATCAACATTATGAAGCCAAATGACCTAGAAATTCCTACAGAAATTCCTCAACTTTTGAGGAAAGGCACACCCCATGATTTCACAGATTTAAGTATCATCTTTAAAAATAAGATATTAAAAAAAAAAATCTCCCACTGATTCAAAATGACTATTCAGGAGCCAGCTTTCACACTGACCCTATGTCTATTTGCTATATTTGCATAGCCACATCAAAATGTCAATTATATTAAAGGCAAAGAAGATGATAGATTTACGGTGATAGATATGAGATAATGATGAGAAATGACAGTGAACAATTTGCTATGTTTATCAGTGAATCAGCTGATTGATAAAATCTATTTCATGCCAAATATTAGAAAGACTGCAAATTCTGAGAGCTCTTTTCTATAGCTGAAAATAAAAAAACACATGAAACAGAAGTTACATAGAGCAGCACAATGGTGAAGGTTTTTGCCTTGAACTCAGAAACGTCACACACACAGATTTTAGAAATACAGCAATCCCATTTGAAAGCATAATTGCTTTCAAGTTATTGCCTATTCCTTGAAGCAGTTTTTGCTGGCTTTCTAACAGTGTTTGCCCAATATCCACACACACCATATTAGGGATACATTTGTTTTGTTTTTCTTACACTGAGCAGGGAGCTCAGCCTTCACCTCGAGCAGGGAGCAAAGGATCAGATAGGGATGGTGGAGGTCTTTCAAAACAGCAAGTGTGAGCCCTTGGCCAGGGAAAGTGTGTCAGGCATAGTAAGAAATGCCCAGCAGGCCAACATATGTATTGATTGCTACTACAAATTTTATGACCAAAGACGCACAGCCTCCTGGGCAGTCATCGGTATGCCAATCACATTAGACTTAACCTCTCCACTATAGAGCCATCATCCTCAGCTCATATGGGTGAGGATCTCTGCTAATGGCTTTCCTTATGGCTGAAGGAGAAGGAACTTAAAGCTCAACTGCTCTATTTTCCCTGCAGGAGCCAGATGATGTAGAGAAGAAGAGAGGAAGGACAGCTAAATTTTTTCCTGATTCTTTCTCCCCTAACTGCTATGGCTTTATAACAAATCTAAGCATACAGATTATTGCAAAATTTGGATAATAAAATACCTTCTCTAAACTGTTTGTATGTTTTTTTACTTCTTCTTTTTTTAAATATGTAGATATTTGGGCAGTTCTGGCTATTTAGGATTTGGACAGTTATTTTTGATGGAACTTTTCAAGATTTTTTGTATGTGGATGTATGGGAAGAATAGCTTATTAGTTAAGGACTTCCGCATCTTTCATTTTATAATCTTATATCCTTGTTTTGTAGATTTCTTTTGGAATCTCTCCTACAATTTTTTTCAGTTGTTTCTTTCAGTCACCACATGAATACAGTATTTTGTCCTGCACAGAAGAAGTAAACAGAGACCTTTAAATACCACTCTTATACACTAAGTTTACATGTCTCCATTACTAGTAGCAGTAGTAGAAACTAAACTGGTGATTATATGACCAAAAAAAAAAGAGCTACTCAAGCACTACAGCGCTATATATATCCATAGAAGTTATAGCCAAAAAAACTCTTTGCTTTTGCTGTATCACTTCTAAATGCCACTTCCTCCTAGTGATTTTAGGAAACACTGTAACTGTGCAATTTGGTATTAGCACCCCAAAACACTTATAATCTGGGTTTTCCATAAAAGATCTCCCAATATAAGAAGAAAATAAATGAAGGTAGTGTTATATGGTACATTCTTAGTGACTGTAAGCAAAAAGTATTCCTGAAACAGACACATGAGGGGGCACAAAGGCTTATTTTAATCAGAGGCCTCTCTAGTCTGTGTTAAGAAAAAGAGGTTCTCTCCAATATTGAAAACAAAGGATATTAGTTTAAGGCTTATTTAAGGCTAACTCTCCAGGCTAATGTTATTTTGGAGAATGTTCTCATATACTAGTGTTCCTTTGTGAGAAGTGGGACATGATGGCCTACTGACTTGTTCCCACCTCATCATTCTCCATATGCCATACCCCTAGTAATTAATCGGGATAAGGGAGCAGACTAGGTTGATGAATTTTGATTTCTTTTAATCCAGGAATTCCAAATTTTACTCTGGCAGACACACTCACACAAAATGAATTAGTCACCCTTCTTTCTAAAATTAGTATTATTTCTAGTTTTTATAAACTTTGAGATCACACACTGAAAACCTTTGTCAAAGCAAAAAGTGGAGAGCATGAATGAAAAGGTTATGCAGACAGAAGTTACTTGTATATATATATACTAAATAACTTGATTATTCTTGTCAATTACTGCACTGACTTTCACCAGAACTGATTTATCCCTAACAAAACTATAGCTTTTAAAAATGCAAAGGTCGTGGTAGGAGGAACACTCCCTTCTGGGGAAAAAAAAAATCTAGTTATGCAAACATGAAACTGGTTTTATCAGTCCACTGTCCTGATTTTCTTGCCCTACTTTTGTAGAAACCTGAACAATCTGCACTAGAGCGAATTGTAAACTGAACTCTGGCAGAAAGTTAGTGTTTATGACTTCCCTGGATTAACTGATAAGACTTTGCTTATATTAACAACAGGTGTAATACTTATATAACTTAGGGACTAGGACACAGGAAACATGATCTTTTCCTGACTCTTAGATTCCCTTCTATTCTAAAAAACAACTCTCTCCAACATTCACTTGATTTTAAATACAGAAGTTTAGAAGTCTTTCAGTTTTCCATATTACTTAAAGGTGAACATATTACACATTTTGAATGTAGAAAAAAGTCCTTGGTGCTGAAATATTAGTTTATTTCAGAAGGAAAAAAAGCTAATAAAAATTTGTCAAAATATTAACACTTGCTGGTTCCCATATGTTGTGGCTTCCCATAGACCAGAGGTTCCTTTTTTAAAATTGCCTAACAGATGAGAAGACTTACGTGAAAGGTGGTATTACTGATAGGGAAGAAATACAATTGCCAAAATATACTTGAAAAAAACATATTTAACATCAAGTACCTTTGTTTTCAAATTCAGCTTCGCCATTGCCCTCAAGATTAAGACATGACATCTTGAAGACCATAAATGTACCATGTTTCTCTAGACAGCATTTTGCATGGAGACGATTTACTTAAGAGTTTATTCAGGGTAACTCTTAATGTTTCTAACATTTCTGAACCCTCCTATGCCTGTCTTAAAATTACTCCATTAAGAAGCAACTGCAAATATCAAACAAAATCCCCAAAAGATCAAAAAGCATCAAGATTTAGTTCTCAAATTTCAATCTGAATAATCTTCCTTAATGACAAAATATTTATAAAGGGATAAAAGAGTTCAGTCTAATTCTTTTCTTAATGGGAGGCACATAATTCATAATGTCTTGAACGTGCTGAAGAATGGATTAAAAGTCTCAAGAAAGGTATACTGGATCCAGTACAACTGCCTGAAAGGACAGTTATTTCCCAAGAAACCACTGGTTTGATCCTTTTTTTTCACTTTACAGAAGAGTAGACCATAAATAACATCCTAGAAATTAATGAAGCAACAAAAGTACAAAAGAATCGAGTCTGAAGAGAGACAAGGGGTGATGACAAGAGATGATGATCACCAGGGAAGTTTGAAAGCAGAATTACCCCACCTATCCAAGGACACACAAGTAGTCATGCGAACAAGGGCACCTTGCAGGAATCCTCATCATTGCAGGCCCTTTTATTTATTTGTAGGGCAAAAGTGAGGGATGATGTAAGCTGCAAGGCTATTATTCATGTTACGGGAAAGCATTTTATGCTTATGAAACCACCTGACTGGATTATGGCAGGTCCTAAATACTGTTGATGTTAAAGACTATTCATACTACAGAAATGAGCAAATATCCGGGAGAGCTCAGGTAACCTGTTAAACTAAGTATAATGCTACTAAATAAACTAAGTATATATTAATTCCAATTAAAACTAAGTATATATATATTACTTCCTAGAGTGTGAGATAAAACTCTCCACTAGACATTTTATAATTTAAATAAACTAGGTTGAAAATGTGGAGGAAAAAATAAGTGGGAGGGATTCGAGTGATTTACATGAGGCAAAGGGCAGATGCCAAGCCCAAGGTACAGCAGGTCTGTTACCTTCTACTCCACAGTGGAATCCTTATTTTGCCTTTAGCCCTTCCAATCAGTTCTGGGAACCTATAACTCTTTCAGGAACATTTTTGTTAAAGTCTCTGACATAGGTTTACCATGGTAAAAACTTGGATAAATCTCGCTACACAAAATCTGCAGAAAGGGCTTTATGAGAAAGCACTGCATAGTCTACCTATATTTTTATGCATCCAGTATCCCACCTGGAGATTCTGCTCTGCTCAAGCGACTGCATTTCTGGAAATCCCAAATAATTATATAAAATCCTTAAACTTTATCTGAATAAAACTTCTAGCTGGGAAAAAAAAAAAAAAAAAAACTTTGCATTTCCTGAAACCAGCCCTTGCTCTTTCAAGACAGGTTCAAATTCCTATTTCATAGGCACACTCTCCTTCAATAACCCTGATTTTTGAATATCTCTTTGTGTCTTTAAAATTCTACAACCCCTTGGTGCTTCCTAATAACATATGCGATACACAAATTAATGTATTCTACTAAAAATTCCCTACTTTGAAAAGAATATTAAAGTGGGGAAAAAAAAAGCTGCCCATACTGCCCATAGAGATTTTAGTTACCTCCATTTTTTTTCACCTTATGTTACAGAATTTAACTTAAGACATCACTAATGATGTTCAATCTACTTTAGATTTAAAGACTATGAATGTACTTCTCACTGCCCATCTTAGAACACCAAAATTATAAATAAAAATGGGCAAATTCAACAGTTAGATTGCTGCCCAGAGATGAGAGCTGAGCTTAGCATTTTTTTATTTACTGCAGCTGATTATATGCACTATATTTTACACATATACATACACACACAGGCACACATACATAAAGCAGTTTCATGGAGAGATACTCTTATGAGATTTCTTACCTCCCGGTCGACCAAATCAGCATAGGTGCATGCTCCACTGACAGAGTCACTTCGAACAGCACAGTCACAGTGCACAACAGCTGGACTAACGCAGCAGAGTAGAACTGTGTCATGATTCCAGTAAAGTTAGTGCATAGCTGGCTACCTGCAAAGAAAAGTCTGAGCATATATCGAAACAAGCTGCGTTTTCCAGTTTAACCGACACAATCTGGATCCAGCCAGGCTACTGGGCGAGGTCGCTCTATGGCAACAGTGTGATTTTTCAAAACATGGAATTCCTTAATTCAAGGATTAGAGCTTTAATATTTTTACTACTTTTCACCTCATCGTTTAAGTGGTCCATAAAGCTGTGTGCAGGGTTAAGTACAGACATTCCTCTGAAAAAAATCTTATTCCAGTGCCTGTGAGATTTGTGAAATTCAGATACCTGTTCTAACACTTGATAACCATAGAATTGCTCAACTTCGAAATGGAGTTTACAGAAGTTTTGTGTTTTGTACAAAATATTTTCTGCATAACTTCCCCTGCTATTTTATGAACCTTGCAAACCACAAGGTATCCTTTTCCATTTAGGGTGGCCTGTCCACCTCATCATAGTCGGTGTTAATTGGATGCGTCATTTGGGAACGAGATGTTATTATCCCACTGTCTCTACCACAGCCAGGGAATGGGCAAAGGCAAGACTCGACAATCCCAGAGGACCAAGAAAACTTAGTCGTCTGAGAGGAGAATTTTGCCTTTACTGGCGGAGCAGATGTTGTTAGTCAATAGGGAGAGGTTAGCCAGCGGCAGAAAGATGTTAGTATTGTGGGATAGATAATTTACTTATGCTGCCCTTAGAAAACAGTCTATTAATTAAGCCTGTTTACCCTCGGCTCATGAAAATGGGTATTACGTCAACAGAGGCTAGGAGAGCCCTTTGCAAAAAGACTCCCGCTATGCTTTTAGTTCAGGTAGTTGAAAGCCCAAAGTCAGTGAGGAGCCTCTCACTGCCAGCATGCCATTTCCCTCTTGTACTCAGGAATTCAATCTCCGAAGCAGATGTTAACGTTCAGATCTCTTCTTCTAAATGTTGGTACTTTCTCACCTTTTCTGTCGCTGCATCACTCAAAGTTGTTAACCCATTTTCGTAGTGGACCGTAATGTCCACCACCTTTGCACAGACCTCTTTCACCATAATCAAATCTGGTTTGAGGAGTTCGTTAGTGTTATCCCTGAGACGAGGCTCCATAAAAATCTCCCATTCCACTCTCTGCACCTCTTTAGCCAACAGACTATGTAAATTGTTATGCCCTTTGATCCGTGCATCTTGGACAGCAGGGCAGTAATCAATTACATGTGAACAAGATTCCCATTCTGCAGGACAATGCCTTAAACCCCTGGGAGCACCCTCACCCAATCCATGAGTCAAAAATTCCTGAATAGGATATGCATTGGCTCGTAGTTGGATGGCTGTTATTAGTTTGCAGTGGGAAATGCTTTGATAGTGTATTAGTCAATCATTGCTTAATCACAGAATCACAGAATGCTTAAGGTTGGAAGAGACCTCTAGAGGTCATCTATTCCAACCCCCCTGCACACGCAGGGTCACCTAGAGCACGTGGCACAGGACTGCATCCAAGCGGGTTTGGAAGATCTCCAGAGAAGGAAACTCTACAACCTCTCTGAGCAGCCTGTTCCAGGGCTCTGTTACCCTCACAGTAAAGAAATTTTTTCTCAAGTTCCTGTGGAACTGTTGCCGTTCGCTTCACGGTCTTAGCTCATTGCTTCACGGTCTCAGCTCCCGGCAACGTAACGCGTTCACCTGGAGGTCAGGCTCTCCGGGGACGTCCCCAGCCTGCGAGGGGACAAAACACGTAACACCAATATGGTTGAAGTGGAGTGCCGTTTATTGCTTGCTGCTTACCACAGTTATACTCTTTTCGAATGCGGAAGCTTACTCAGCTACCAATAAGCGCTATTTATACCTAATAAGGAAAAGAGGCTGCGCCTATTCTATGTATAGTTAAGTGCTATGGTTAAGCAGTCACTCTTACTCAGCTGCCTCTTGCACTTTCCGTTACATTGCGAGATCTTCTGAATGCCGGGCCCTTCCTTTTAGCCTAAGTTTGGTCAAGCTTTAGGCCTGATCTTATCCACATCTCCCCCTTCCCATGTTAAAGGTCCCTCCTGTTGAGCTTGATGTAGTCCCACAACAGGCCAATACTGCAATGATGACTAGGTCATCAAGCCACTTCCATCCCTGCTTTTCCAGCACTATATGGGTAGCTAAGTCCTTAGCCAACTCATGGATGGCATTGTTTTTCCTGCCTATTTTCTCATAATCCTCTGTCGTCCGGCAACAGAAGGTGAGATTAGCAAAGCCCTGGTATTTACATCCCCCCTGCATGACAGCATCCATGATGACCAATATGGCTTCGCAGTGGGCTTGTAGGACAATCTCCGTCTAGAGACAAGGTGTCGACTTTCCTTGTCCCCTAATTATAATACTTTCTGTCCCACACCAACCCCTTTTCCTCAAGGGAACAGGGAGACGTCTCTCCCAATTCCCAGCCGACTCTCCTTCGGTGCGTCCACCTGGATTATTGTCGGCAACCCCAAGGCCTCTCCCAGTTTATTACCTTAGGCCTTACCGGTCTCCTTTATCCGCTTCGGATCCCGGACCGCCTTAAGCACCTTGTTGGCCAATTAAGAGCTCCGGGCCTTGACAGCCTTTCGCGGAGTATTTATCTATCTATACTATTTATCTATACTGTAATATAATTATATGCAAAATATAACTAAGCCTCCACAAAGCAAGACTACTGGCGGCTTAAAGCAGAATGGACTACAAAGGCATCGGTTTGGTTGCACTGATCACAAGTAGTATTATCACAAGCGTAAGTTTGGTTGCGCTGTTCGGCCTTATCGCATTACGGCAAGCGTAAGCAATACAATACTCTCGGCGGGGGCACGTCTGTCGCACACGCGCCCCGTGCCACTCCTCTTCCTCACGAAGTCTTTCATATTTCTCTTCATACTTCTTCAGTTGCAGGAGCGACGCCTGCTCCTCCTTCTTCCTCTTCTTCCCAATGATCTGATCCTGTGGGCGAAGAGTCATCTCGGGTCTTGGTTAGCTTCGGTCTACTACACTTCGCTGGGACCCATTCCACCCGTTCACCCATCTGTACTGCAGCATACCCGCAACTCTCGGAATTTGCCCTGCTCCTTGCTTTCCTCTTTCGAAGTGAGCTCGAGTGGGGGCTTCCGACCCTTCCTCTCGGCTATGATGGTTTAGAACGTACAGCGTGCGGCTTAAAATTCTCTGCTGTTCTTTCTGGGGTACTCCTCCTGTATAACCCTCCCCAAGGCGGGTTATCTGTTGCTTGAGGGTGCGGTGGGCTCTTTCTACGATGGCCTGTCCTTGGCTGTTGTAAGGAATGCCATGCTTTAGCCGAATGCCTCATTTCTTTTTAGGTTACAATCCCTAATCTAGTCTATTATTGGTATACACACACAGCAAAGTTATCTACTAAATCTTACTTGCGCAAGCTTAGAGTGTCACATACATCTTTGCATCTGCATCCTGTTGGTCTGTGGGTTCTTTTGCATCTGCATCCTGTTGGTCTGTGGGTTCTCATATCTACTCATCTCCGTGTCCCACTTAGCTATATGACAACTTTAAGTTATTTACAGGCTATAGTTTCTTAACCCTTCTCTGTCCCTACATTCCTCCCTTTTCTCACGTTCATTAGAGAGTTCCCTCTCTAATCCTGATCTGTACCGATCCTGTTCTTTCCTTTATAAACTACAACATATGGTCCCTTGATCTCAGTAGGTTTACCCAAATTCTTCCCAATATTAATAAGATATACCGGGGGAAGTGTTCCGAATATTATCTCGAATGGAATAAACTCCAAAACATAAAGGGATCTAAAGACCACACACACACACAAACAGCACAAACACAGTTTCTATCCAGTGGCACGATCTCACGTAGCTGTGCGCTCCACTAGTGAGTCCCACTGTTTCAATTGCCGAAGCCCATCCTCGTTGCCAATTACTTTGCGAATGGGCTTGGGATTTGGCAATAATCACACAAAGAAGGTGGCTACAGAGAGCCTCTATCAGGTGAAAGCACATCAAAGAAGCAAAGTATGAATAATTACTCTTGAGGTACCATTTGCCGGCAGGATACTGAGACTGAACATTCTCTCGAGTCGGCAGATTGGAGGGTTGCTGACAGGCTCCCAACTTGGCGGGTGCGCGTCCCCACGGGGACAACGTAGGTCTCGGTGTTAGGAGTCTTGTCCCCCCTCTTTCTGCACTGTCTGTTTATGCC